CCTTCGATGAGGCACTTCACACCTTTCTTCTCACCAAGAGAGTCAGGGAAATCCTTCTGGAAGCCCCTCAGCCAGAAAGAAGAGCAGGGGAGAAGAGAGAAGACGGGTGCAGAGYACCCAGTCCCTGCACGCAGTGAACGTGGGGCTGGCTGCAAGGCAGGTCACAGCGGTTGTGCAGGGTCCGACCGTCACCGCTGACGCTGCGGTCAGCGCAGCGGGAGGCCGAAGCACAGCCAGCTCCTTGCGTGTCTGACCGTGAAGGGGGCACGAGGTGGGGCGCGTGTGCCARGCGCAGCCGCAGCCGGCCAGGCCGTGGCGGCCCGCACGGGACCAGAGCAGCATCGTTATCGCAGAGCCGGGCCAGGGAAGAGCCACCCGAGCAAYGAGCGGGCTGCGCAGCTCCAACGGGGTGAAAGGCTCTAGGGCAAGGTGGGCAAAAAAGAATAATTAGAACGTGAGACTGAATAATAAACAAGGTGGAAAGTGGGGGATTAGTGGAGGAAATATCCTATCAAACCAAGCGTGCCAGGTGGGCCTCCTACGATAATGAATTTTCTAGACAAAGAAATGTAATAGATCCCATCCATGCAGGCTTCAGCAAAGCATTTGGTACACTGCCATGTGGGAAATTATTAAATGTAAAAGAGGGGGATTATCCAAACTGTAAGCTAGGAAACCAGTGAAAGAGGAAGTAGTGTTGAAAGAGCTATCGGGATAGATGGAGGTCACCGGTGGAGTTCCTTAAGGAACGGTCAGGAGACTGATCTTATTAAATATTTTTATTAATGATCTTGGCACAAAAAGCAAGTGTGCTGATGAAATTTGCTGATGACACAAACTTGGAAAGCCCAAGCAGCACAGAGGGAAGATGGGATAACACACAGGGAAAAACTATAAAGAGCAACTCCGACATCTAGCAGTGCTAAAGAAGAGGCCACGTTTTTGGGACAGACAATAGTTTTTCTGGGAGTTTAGAAGCAAATGAGAACATGAAAGCATGGGAAAGGCCCAAGCAAACAGCTGAACACAAGACTGGGGCACCAACACGCTGCGACTGCAGGGCGTATATCAAGATTCAGCGGCCAGAGAAGCTTGTGCCAGTGCCAAATACAGGGGTTTATCAGAGAACACAGATTATTTTAAGAGACTGAAATGTAAAGATACTTGTTCAGCATAAAAACAAACACTAAGGAGTTGAACAGAGTTGGGAGTGAACAGAGCGATCTCTTAAACACCCACATCTGAGGGCATAAAATACAAAAGGAGGAAAAGAACTGAGGGCACCAGAATGAGAACTTCAGGGGGAAAAAATGAAGCATCTCTGACAAGCTTGGCCCGGCAATAGGTTATAAATTGCAACGGGAGCAATGGTGTTGGGTGGGGAAAGCAAAAGCTTGTTTGGGGAAATTCATCTTGAAGCAATTCTGTAACTCGGGGGCCTCTTTGCATCTGGTACTGCGAAATAAGCACCGAGCTCACACCGCCGGCAACAGCCCTCACCTGGAAAGAGGCACAGAAAGCAACTGCGTGCTTTTAGATAGGTGTTTTATCAGACTGGTTATGATCGCTTAGGTCCAGAGTCCTTGATGGGCTGAATCCATTCCAGCTTCTCAGCAGGAGCAATTCTAGGCCAAACRCTTCAACTGCTAACGCGAGCTGTAGGAGGAGATGGCATTGAAAGGGCACGAGCGAGACAGAGGGGCCGAAGGGCGACGGAGGGAGCGTGGAGCGGTGGCACGGCCGGCACCGCCGGACCTGCGGGCACCGGGGGCACCGCTGCCATCYGGCTGCTTGCCCGCGAGCTCCTCGGCTGCTCCCTGGGCGCTCAGAGCCAACGCAGGCGAGGAAGATGGGGCAACGGGACGGGGAAGCAAGATGGACAAGGCAAGGACCCAGCCCAATCTTCTCCATTAGGAGACTACTGAAAGCTCCGGACYTGCCTTTCCAAAAGATGTTCCTCGGACACCACCAGGGGAGATACGTCCCTTGTCTGAAAGCCTGAGGTGCTTTGAGGATTCTCGGTGTCCAAGAGCACCCTGCACGCTCTCCCGCCACGGGGACCCTGACTGGTCCCCGAGCAGGGAAGGGCAGGCAAACCTACAGGGACTCCTTTATCTGCAGCTCCTCTGGGCTTCAATTAGCCGGCAAGGAGAGGGGAAGGGCAGCGCTGCCGGGCGCGCGACGCGACCGYGGAGCCGTCAGCTCCTCTGGGAGCTGGGACAGTCCCAGCCACCCGCTCCAGCCAGGTCTCAACACGACAAGCTGGGCATGAGGAAGGAAACACTCAGAGATGCCACACAGGGACTGCAGAGCAGGGCAGGACGTGCTCTGAACTCCTGAGCRCTGTCCCTGGGCTGCCCCTGCCCTCCCGCGGGTCCCAGGCACCAGAGCACTTAGGACACTAGCAACCCGCGAGGGCAGCAGAGACGAGCACAGCTTGTCCAGGAGATTCATTTTAGCTTCAGCCAAAGTTTCCTCTCACTGATAACAGCTCAACACAAACTCCTCTACTTAATTGCTTAGAATGGAAGAAACTGAAAGGAGGTGGGGGAAAAATCCAACCGGCCAAGAAGCCTCCCCTGCAGCAGTGCGGGCAGGTGACTCAGAACCAAGGCAGTTGTCAGAGTGGCGCCCAGCAGGAACATCGGGGTAAGTTTTCTGAGAATCACATCGCAGGAAAGGTTGATTTAATGTCACATTACACCAACTTCTCCACTGCACTAAAGAGAAAAAAAAAAAAAAGGATGGAGACTTGCTCATCTAAACACACAACGTACGTCAGAGGAACAAACCTGAGTAACTGCCATCCATAATTTATAAAGCAAATTAAATCCATGGCAAAAATAACTATAACTTAGAACAGAGCGATCGTAGAATCTGGCAGGAAAGGGCCYCAGCCTGCATGAATCATTCCCTGCTAGAGGAAACCTTATATAATCCAAGCTGCCTTGTTTTAAAACAAACTCGGCTTGCAGAAAACTCCGACCAGTTGGTCTGGCAAAGCCCTGCATTTGGTTCAGGTACCTTGGTGGCTTGCTAAGACAAAGCTTTTAAAAAAAAAAAAAAAAGTTAGTAGTAACTTTGTGGGCACCTAGGTCCTGCTTTCAGCATCTTCAGGAACCTTCAAGGGAAGGCAAAGGGAACCCGGGAGAGTTCCACCTGGCTCCCTGAGGAAGGCGAGTAGATTGCAATGCCATCTTGTGGAACCGGAGAAAATGAAAGACAGGAAAGAAGGGAGGGAATAAAAAAATCACTGGTGGTAGACACTCGCTTTGGTGCGGGACCTGCAGGGAGCTGCCTTCAGTTGAACTTGCCTCAGCATCAGCACAGCTGTTGATGCACTACTTATGCAGTTCTAAATGCAGTTCTTAAAAGGACGATCTGGGGAGTTAAGTTTCGAATGAATTCTAATTTCTAATTAGAATTATATATTCTAATTTCTAATTACTGATAAATTGCTAATGAGCAGTATTCTGCACAAAGCAAAACCTGAAACAAAGCAAGGCAAAGCAAGCCCCAAGGTACCCAAGCTGGGGGACAGGGTCGGACCCAGGCAGCGCCACGCCGGGCAGCACCGGGGCGGACAGGTCTGCCCTGCAGCCGCAGCCACCGGCGGGGCGCCCAGCACGGACTGATGCGGCATGAGAGCAAGACGTCGAGGCTCGGGGGCAAGACGTGCACGACGCTGGGCACAAGCTGGGGGCTGCCGCTGCGAGGCTCTTTGCTCAGGGCCTCCCCGTGCCGAGGCGGGAAACGCACACGGAAACGGAGGGAAGGCTCCCAAGGGCCAGGYTGTCCCAGCGCAATCATTTTTCAATTACATAAATCTCGCGTCAGTGCTAAGGAGCCAAGGCAGAAATCAGTCACGGGCTCTGCAGGCACGTCCTTAATTAGCTCCGTCACAGCAACGTGCAAAGCCGGAGACAAATGGCTCTGACAAGGCAACTTTACCCTCCAGGAGAGGCCGCGCATTTTCATCCGCTTCTATCAATCAAGGGCTTAGCTTTCAAAAAGACCTCGCGGATGGAGAACCCATCACACTCCCCAAACGCGCCGCTCGGAAAGGTCGAAGCGTCGCCGCTGGTCCCAGCGGGGCAGCCATGGCAGCAGGCATYGGGTCCTTCCCTGACGGAAGGGAAGCTACCCACAAACTCACAGCCCCCTTCTTCATATGGAAACACGAGCAAGTCGAGCCTCAGGCTCCTCTTAGATGAGCTGCAGAACCRAAATTCCTCTAACTTCTCCCCAAGAGACCACTTTTAAAGCGCCGAAATCCCTCTTGTAACACCTGGAGGCCGCTGGTTTGTCAGACTGAACCGTGATCGTTACAACTGGACGCACTGTTCCCACACAGTCTCACGGAGGCAACCTCCAAATTAATACCAAGTGGAGAGACTGCAGGTGGGCGGTAATCACCCCGTCCAAGGCAAAGCCATTTCGACCCACGRTATCCAATATCCTCCCGAGTTCCGGCTATCAAATCCCCAGCTCTTCACCCTACACGTGACACCCTGATTGTCTCAAGATGCATAACCTTGCTTTTCACATTATAAAAAAGGAGACTGGCTTAATTTCCTGGGTCTGCGTGTAACTTGAAGTGTCACCAGGAGGGATTTCACGTCTTGAGGCTCCAAACACCCTGTTGCCTGCCGGACACCGCTCCGAGCGCCGCCGGGACAGCAGCCCACTGCGAACACTGTGGGAAAGCTGGGATCTAATGAGGTTTCTTAACCCTAATGAACGTGGAACTGCCCTTGTTTCCTGCAGATCTCTAATTCTCATTCAAAATATTGTACAATGCTGCAGCCAGACCTTCACGAAGGTAACCACACCACCCAGGGCAAGCGTGGTAGATCACACCTGCAACATCAGCTAAAACCACTTGCGAGTTTGCAGCCTTCCTTAAAGAAGGGTTTCCTCTGGGAAGAGCCCAGCACACACGGCCTCCAAGCTCACAGGCATCTAGTAACAACAGGGTCTGCACTTTGGCTGCTTCCTACCGCAGGAGGTCGATTTCTTGTCCACCAGCTTCACGTGCCGTGTCTGGTTGCGGAGCTTGTCATCCGTGTTCTCCACCAGGCTGGTGAGGTCGTCGATGATCTCTGCGGAGAGAGAAACGCTGCGTTAGCCCCCAAGCCTCCAACTCTGCCTTCAGCGCAGTACTCCAGGGGAAATTGGTGTGCGTGTGTGTGTGTGTGTGTGTTTTTTTTATATTGAGAGAGTCTGGAACAGCAGCATCAGCCTAGGCAACCACAGCACTGAAGTGCTGGGCAACAGAAGCCACAAAACATCACAGTCCCGAAGCAGAGGCACAAGCGCCGCGCTGGGCATCACGCACGCCGCTCAGCTCCTCCCCGCACGCCACGTGCAGAAGATGCTACTTGTGAAGGCCAAGGACAAAACGCAGGTCAGAGCCCCGCAAAGGGAGGGTGTCTTCCAAGGTGCCCTGCGTAGCACACGACAGGAGCAGAACCAACGGGCCTTGCAGATTCCACCTCAGTGGAATACCCCAGAGGTCGTCGTGTGTACCCCAGGGGAGGTTGGAAGTCACTGAGATCCTCTGCTGCTCTGCCAGCGCCCGCGCTGCACGAGGGGCCTGTGACACAGGGGACCCCGATGACCTGCTGCCCCCGAGGCCAACTTCCCCWTGTTGGACCCATGTGGCACATGCAGGCAGCGCACCCCCGGAGCGAGGGGCCGCCGAGCAGGCAGCTGACGGGACGAGAAGGCAGCGCAACCGAGCAAAAACCGCGCAAAGAGCCCCAGCAGGTCGGTGTTTGCTCCGCARTGCCCGACCTTTTGTTAGAAACAACCAACCAACCACCTCAGCAGCAGTTGTGCATCTTGAGCAACAGGCATTTTGTAACAACACAAGGCTGCAACATGGGCCGAACCCGAGGAGGTGGAGGAATAAGTCCCGGAGAAGAAGGGGGGAAAGGGAAACAGCATCTTAATGGTAAATATGCAAAGTCTGGGCCAATTTCTAATTTAAATCTATCCATTCTTCCCAGCAAAGAAAGAGACTTTCCTAGAGGAAGCGTCAAGGAATTTAGGAAAAGCCCATTCCGTTTTGTTTGTTTTCAGGCAGAAGAACCACAAAGCGTTGTGGTTTCGTTTAGCATCTTGGGTTAAACACAGACCTTTCTCCCCTCATACAAATAAGCCAAACCCGAGCTGATGAGCCACGAGCGCGTCGCTGCACTCGCCGTCGACCAGCCCTCGGCGCGTTGCGGACTCGCCAGCAGAGCCACCCCGTGCCGCACAGCGAGGCCRCGCCACTGCTACTGCCATCAGTGCCCATCTTCAGCACCATCGCACAGCGGCTGAACGGGCTCCGCAAGCTTTACAGGGATGGGAATGGGAAGGGAAACGCATGAAGCAACTGGCTGGTCACTGGATCTCTGCAGTGCCTGCTTTGCTTTACCGTGCTGCATTTCAGGATTTGCTAAATCCTGAATTTTCTACACAAATGGTTGGAGGAAGACCATGTTTGTAGTGTCTCACAATGAAATATTTGCAGCATGACATGCACCAGGATCCCATTTTACTGCTACCGGACTCCGAAGTGCATCTACGTGCACATCTACATGCCTGGTCCTTTCCGGAAAGCTAAACATGATTACCAGTATGGAAAAATAGAACGTAAAAAATAGATTCCTGTTACATCTGTCTCTAYATACACACGCATACACACACTTTAATGAGCATATATCTTAATCACATCTGTCAATGGTCAAAAAACTACAGCAATCTACAAGGGGCACAAGCAGAAGACAGATGAGAAGAACTGGACAGAAGAGGAGCGCCAAACGCCAGGCGTTTCTCTGAGAGGAGCCCCCTCCATTGAAGGCGTCGCTGCCGCACGGATAGTCAGGAGCAGCGTCCCGTCTCTGGGGCCTCCGACGCCTCCTCCGTGAGGCYGGCCCTGCCCTCGCCGGCCACAGCGCAGGTGCCTGCAGCGGCTCCCGGCACCACACGCCCTCCCGGTGCCACGGGAACATCCCATGTACTGCCTGGCACATGGGTCTCGCACAAGGGGCAAGAAACAGCCCCGAGCACGGCGSAGGGCAGGCGTCGGAGCCGTGCGCCACCTCCGCAGGATCCCGCGCTTCCCCTCGCTTCCGCCTCCCGCCATCTCCGGGCGCTGCAATCCCGGCAAGCGCAGCAGGACACAGAGACACCAGGTGCCACCCGGCCAGCCCCACGTGCCTTTCCCACAACCCGGCTATGCCGTCGTTTCTCATGCACCTTCCCCTGGCTTTGGGAGCTCCGTCTCCCCTCTCAGCTCTGCCATCACAGTCTCTCTGCAGCTGCTCATTTTTCCAAGGCAAGTTTCTGCTGGAAAAATCATTTGATAGACAATAAAGCCCCATAAACTCAGAGTGCTTTTCAGGCCTAGATCTTCCATGTTCTGCTTCCTTTCCGGCAGCCCTGGAGGTCGAGGTGCAGCATTTCCACAGGCATGAAGCAAAGCACCGGGTTCCCTTCCGCAAGCGAAATTATCCGCTTTGACAAGAGGGGAGAAACCCCAGAGCTGCCGGGAGTGGAGCCCACTTGGCCGCCTCGTCCTGTCTCCCCTCCCTTTCCGCAGCCCTTCGAGCCGCACGGAGCTCCTGGGAACAAAGACTTCTTTTCCCATGAGGAAAACCAGCCCTTCTGCACCACAGCTCTGCTCCCCTACCTGACCGGGCACCCACCCCTGATTTGCTGTTTTATTTAAAATTCATTAAAAGCCCCATTGGGTTTCGGCAGTGCCACTTTTAAATCCCCTTCGGCACGTCTGAAAACCCAAGGGGAAACAGCCCCTGAATCACAGCACAGGCAAAYGAGAGTGACCTCTGGACTCAGAGCAGGAGAGCTCAGGGCTTGGTTTGGGTGGGTTTTTAGAACTCTCTGCGGGTCTAAATCTACAGATCCCACGACTGTGTCTATGGGTGAGCAACGCAGTGACCCAGTGCATCCCGCTGCGGAAGCCATGGAAGGCTGCAGTCGGCCTTAACAAAACCACGAGGAAATTTAGGGAATATTTTATGCTATGCAAAAAAATTACCATAGGAGTAGAATTTACTGGAGAGGCCAAGCAAGCTTCCCTTCCTGCCCTCCCTCCTCGAGGTCTCTGGTGCCTCAGGAGAGGAGCTAGATACCACAGAAATGAATCATATAGCGCATGCCAACCTCTATACACCCAAGCTCCGTAACTGCATGTTAATAAGAGAGCCAGCATTGTTCCAAACGCCAGTGGTATGAAGTGAGGATTGCAGCTAATGTGAGTCCCTCAGAAACCCCGAGAACCCGCAACGCGCCGGCGGGCGGAGCGGGAAGGCGCAGGAAGGGCCGAGCGCCCGCGCGGCCCCAGCTGTGCCCGCTCGGGCGCTGATCCGTGGGGCGGGTGGCACCGAGAGCGGTGCCGCCCGGCTCTCGGTGCTCAGGGCCTCGCCGGTGCCCGCGTGCCTCCGTGCTGCCTGCGACACCACTTGAGCTTGGCGCTGCAAGCGGTACCACGGCTCCCGCCCTCCTCTTCTGGATTCACCGGGTGACGTTTAGTCTCTTCTTGGGCAGAACCTCACGTATGTTTGGAAAGCCAAATACTAACTTATCCAAAGAACTAAACCCACTGCTCATCCTTGAATTGTATCGCGTTTCAGCTGCTTCTACGAACAAGGACTTGAAGAGGGTCAAGTTCAGAAGAGCTTTTCTGGCCTGCTCTTGGAAACACGTTTTGTGAGCTGTAACGCACAGGACAACCCCAGGGCTGCAGGGAGACAGTAAGAGATGTCACCCAGTGCTGCAGGGCAGCTGAGGTGGCGTTGCGTCACCGCGAGCACACTGGAGCGGGACATCTCTGCCTGTCATGCACAGCCCTCATTGCCAAAAGGACATCCGGAGCGGGGCACCTCCTCCCGCCACGCGCAGCCCCCCGAGCACACCCGGATCAGGGCACCTCGCCCTTCCCTGCGAGGCAGGAAYGAACCGCATGTTCTGCTACAAGGAGACTTTGCCGTCCTCTCCAAGCACCTACAACCCTAACATGCACAACCACCATTTCCACCAGGCCCATCCCTTCCCGCAGCACTGCACAAGACAGGAGAGCAGGGGTTTGTTCATSCTACCCACCGTATTTTCAGACTCAAATGCTGCTGGACCCCCAAGCAAAATGGAGCATTTCAGGCTCCTCCAGTTGGGTGTGAAGGCAGCAGATGGCCCCCGATATCCGACCACGCGTCCCAGGGATGCAGAGCCCTCCGAGGGCACGAGCTGCAGAAACGCTCAGCGGGTTATCGAGGACTATGAGCAACAGAGCTAAGAAAAAGAGCAGCACTGAACCCAGGAAACCCAGTTAGTAGCTAGAGCTGCTATTTTAAAAGCACACACGGAGAAGTTCTCCCTTTTCCAACCGCTTATTTGGAGTTATTCGAACAAAACCCATGGACATTAATTTTAGTTCTACTTAATTGAATAATTTCCCCAGGGAATAGTTCAGGGAGAGTTTYAGAGCAGCCTGTTTCCAAGAGCCATTACTAACTGGCATATACCACAGTGTCACTGTGCCAACCAAAACAGCGCGCTTTAATGTTCCTGGAACGCCCTTCAATCCAGATGTGTTGAGAACTCCCAGTGATATAAGGCAGGCAATAACTGTATTTGCACGATATAGTATTTGGAGTATCCTTTCTAGTTATATGGAAGGAGATAACAGTCCCCATGGCAGTCCCCATGGCTAGAAGTATTGAATGGAAAGCCAGGTCAATTTTTCCCCCTCCTTGATCCCAACATATTCTCCTTCCTTTATATTGGTCATGTATGAACAGACCAGCACTGTTAACCAGTTATAAAATGGATATTAATGAGGGGGAGGAGTGAAAATCATAAAGGGTTGACTCAGATTTATAGCATTCACCGAGGGAAGCATCGCCATATATCTATTAAGCTCTTGTTTGAGACAGTGGCAAAAACAAAGGGAGCCAAAAAACAACCCTGTGGTGCGATCTGATCCATTTATAAGAGTCTTGCATTTTTACTCAAATCATAAGAGTGAAGACTCCTGCTACACAAAAAGAAGAAATTTTTAGATCAGATGATCAAAACAACCAGTAAAATCTTC